TTATAATCGTGCTGGTTAGGGTTAGGAAAAATGTGATTTGATTAAGAACTCAAATGAAGATCCTATTCCACCCAACTCTATGATCCCTTAAGATGACGTTGACGAAATTGATGGGCGAGGCAGAGGATGCCCTAATCGGAATTGAAACCCAAATGAAGATCTTGTTCCACCCATAACAGAGTCTTCGTTGAAGCACTGATTTACACAAAAACACCACAACAGAGGGGGGGGGGGGGGGGAAGGGGGAAGAGATTGCGTATGGTTGGAGACTTTGAGTGTTTGGCTAAGTGTGTGAAGGGGCAAAAACATATGGCTTCCTTCTTGCTTTGCGGTGGGTTTGTTGTAAAAGAAAGAGAAATCAAATGGCGTCGTTTTGATTTTGTCCTTTTAAGTAATTTTGCCCTCTAGGTTTTTTTAATTATTTTTGTTATGAGTAGAGTGGATGGTATTTTGGTCTTTTCACCTACCAGTTATTATTATTGGACAAAAAGTCATTCTTTGCTCACTTTACATACTACCGCTGCGATTTGAACAGGATGGGTGTTATTTGCACACTTTTAAAACTACAGGGTTTTTTTTGCACTTCACCGTATATATATAGTAAAACACACAACGTGATGAAAGGTTATTTTATAATTTTAATTAAAAAAATTATATAAAAATTATCAAAATAAATTTACTTTTTCAAATAATTGATTAGTAATTTTTTTGAGTAATTAAAATTTTAAATATTTATGAAGCGAAATGTATTGTCAAGATCAAAATTTAAGAGTAAAACCTCAAGTTTAAGGGGTTGCAATTATTTGTATAATATGTACATAATTAGATAATGAAAAATATATAATATTTAAAAACTTATAGACAAGAAAATATATTATATTACTAAACTTATTTGTTTAGTTAATAAATCCTGACATGACATGATTAAACAAACACGGAAAGATAAAAAATAAAAATAAATCAACATGATTAATGCAATTCAAAGAATAAAATATAATTAAACAAACACAAAAAATAAAATAAAAAAATAAAATAAATCAACATGATTAATGCAATTCAAAGAATAATGTACCTGTAATAAAACAAATAATTTTAAACCATATTGCGAAATAGATCAATTAAAATAAATTAAGATGTTTTTTCAAAAATAAATGGAGTCATTCAAAAAATAAATTACTACCAAATTTTAAAGAAAAAAATAATATATCTGTAATAAAATAAAGAATTTTGAACCATGTTGCGAAACAGATCAATTAAAATAAATTAAGATATTTTTTTTAAAAAATAAATGATGACATGACAAAATTAAACAAACACAACAAAATAAAAAATAAAATAAATTAACATGATTAATGCAATTCAAAGAATTGGATAAAACATAATAAATGATTTGAAACATCTTGATTGGTAATTTATTAATCATAATTTATTTTATCAAGATGTTTCAAATCATTAAATAAATCTTTTAATTAAACAATTACATAATTTAATTGGTAATTTATTTTTTTATTTGGAAAGATTTAGATCTATATTTATATTTAGGAAAGAGTTAAAAATGGAATAAAATCAATTTGGTTATGTTTTTCTTCTATATTACTTGCTGTTCATTCCCGAGAAAATAATTAAAAAAAAAAAAAAAAAGAAAAAGAAAAAAACCTTGTTGGCTAATTAAGAAATTCCCAAATCATAACATATGTATATATATTTCCCATACTATCAACCATAGTCCATTGAGAGCGCAGTGGCCTGCTGAAAAGCAGAAGGCAGTGGCGTCTAAAAAAAGAATAACAAAAAAATAAATGAGTAGTAGCGTTTGAAAAAATTAAATAAAAAAACCCATTCCTTTGCTACCGCCAGGCCAATAAAATAATAATAAGTACGGATGTGTTGAATAGATTCTAAAGGTATTAAGACAATGTTAAATAATTATCAAGTCAATAATCGTCTTCATATGAATATATGGATGTGAGAATCTTGGAGTATAATTTCGCCCTTGAATATTATTAATTTAGCATGTTAAAAAAAGTATCAATTAGTTGGTCTAATATCTTTTGGTACTCCGTTGATTCGCATGTCATCATAACTTTTTAATGAAACAAGTCATTATGAATAGACAATCCTAGTAGAATTGTATCATCTTTGTCAGAGAAATCGAAGTTAAATTTTGTATCACGTGATTATTATTTAACATTGTAGCTTGTGCTCTAGGGAGGGACGTAAAGAATAGGATCCCAAACAAAATGGTAGTATTGAAGTAGATAGTGAAATGAAAAAAATTCAAAACATGATTAAATCATTCCAATAAAAATTTGTATTTGACAATGTTAAGTAAATTAACCACCCAAACATGATTTAATTAATTTTACTTCGTTTTGATTTTTAATTAATTTTACTTCGTTTTGACTGCGAAGAAGATTGCTTTTTTTTTTTTCTTTATCCAGACTCCACCACCTTCTATATTTGAATTGGTCACTGTCCTTTATGGTTGAATCTTGAATGGATGGGAAGAATTTTATTTATTTATTTTTTATGCTTTGGGAATTTATTTATTTTTTATGTTTTGGGAATTTCCTTCTATGGATGCGAATGAATTATTTGTTATACTTTGGGAATTTTTTAATTAGCCTGGTATAGTTGAATGCAAGGATAAGTTCTTTTTTTTTTCTTTTTCTTTTCTTGGGAACGAGGCTAGTAGCATAGAGAGAAAATGTAACTGCGACAACGTCCGTTCTTCATTTTGCCTTTTCTCTTTCGTTCAAACTTTGAATCAGATGATTTTTGTGTCTAAGTTCATTAATTTTTTGTTGTCTATCCTGGTGTGCTCGGTTGCACCCATAACTTTCTAAAAATTACCGTTTTGCCCCTAGGACTAAAATTGTCCGTTTTTAAATTATCGCTTCTGCATTTTGTTTTCTTTTAACTCTGTGACTTCATGGAAAGTTACTCTAGTGTTCTTGGGATGCCGTTTATCCTTAGAAACCTTGTTTTCTTGTCTTCGTTTTCGCATTCCGGATCCGTTATCGGGTCAACTTTTGGGTCACATTAACTATCCGAATTTGTGAAAATTCAGAGCGTCACAGCTTAATTCACATTACGCTTGGAAAAATTCCTTGGTAGGAGACAAATTACGAGTTTGTGGAGCTTAAGGGGGCAAACTGTGTCTGTGGCTGGTGTATTCTTCTACATTACTTTTGAGGCTAAGGATAAGGATCGTGATGATGGTCAGTGTAAAACTTTTACTACTGAGTTGTTCCGTGGAATCGGAACAAAAGTAGAGATCAAGTATAGTGGTCTCGAACGTACTCAATCAGGTAAAATTAATTTATTAGTTAGATACCAATTTTGAGATTGTGCCACTTGTAATGAGATTTGATTACCCCCAAGAAAGGATTTTCCCACTTTGATTTACCACAGTTTACTATAATTCTTTATTGGTTGTCATGTATGATAGCAATCCAGTTATCAATAGATCCAATCTAAATTAGATTCAATTATTAGCTCTTTTGAGGAGAGGAAACTATGGAGATTTTATGTGTATGTATGTATACATATGTGTTTGTATGGAACTCAACAGTTTCTTGTACGGTTCCCATTTTTGTTAATGTGGTTTTTGATTGTACCTCATTTATGACCTATATGCTTCCTTCTGAATTTGTTGTCTGTGAAAAGAGTATATTAGATTCTATCAACGGTTCTAGGTATATATATACAGGTTTCTGACAACTCCACATCTTTCAATTGCATGGAGCAAAGCTATGGACTAGACTTGCTTCTATTTATATTTTATCCCTAGAGAATTACTTGAAGTCATCAAGTTTAGATTTGCTTCTATTATATTCTCTACTATATAAATTGCTTTTATTTGTTGATAAGAAATTTCTTATGTACCAGCTAAGATAGGATAGTGTGGAGTTTGTCCCTCCAAGAATCTCACATGGCTTCTTATAATTTTTAAATTCTCTTGCATATCAATAATTATTCAACATTACATTTCTTTTTAACTCTCACATAGCAATTGCCTATAAAATGAAATCACTATCTCTATTACATAATTTACATGTCCATAATTATTCAACATTACATTTGTTTTGGACTCTCTCTCACAGTCAATTGCCTACAAAATGAAATTATTATCCCTGTTACATGTCTTATATTTGTTTTGGACCCTCAGACATCAATTGCCTACAAAATTAAATCACAAGAATTTTTTTATATTTCCTTGAATAAAAAAATATATTAATATTATATTAATATATTAAAGGGCTTAATTTAGAAATTTTGTTTTAGGCCTCAAACAGTTATATAAGCTGAATTCATGTTGACTTATGAATGGAAGAATCCCCAACATAAAATGTGGTTAAAGTTAGTGTGTGTTTTGATTATGTACCTCTTTTTAGGTTCGAAAATTATTTTCAGTAGATACAATCAACTAGATTTATAAATTTTTGTTCTTCATTTTCTAGTTTTTCCAACCAAGCATATTTTTAACTTGAAAAAAAAAAACTATTTTCTGTTTTGATTCTCTGAAAACTTTTCTTGAAAAAGTTATATCTTTCCTGTTGGAGGGATTTTGTGTTTGCTATGGACAAAGTTCACTGGAAGGAAAAAAAAAAAAAAATGATGGTGGGGTAGGTGTATAAATTACATGCATGTTCAATTGTCAAAGAACATTGATTATGGATAGAATTGAATGGTTAGAAAACTTGAAGCAACCAATTTGTGAACAAGTAACTATGGCCACCTCTGAATGCCATTGGAATATTTCCATTTGTCATATTTTCTTTGGTGTTATTTGAAGGTGATTCCAGATTTCGTGTGAGCTTGAATTCATTTACATTTGGATGAAAGGGAACTATAAGCTTCATAATTGTGGTTTCAACATAACCAAATTGCAATGATCAACAAGGTTTGAACACTATTATAAATCAAAATCATATTTCAGTTAGGCTGTTTCGACGTAAAACATTTTCCATTGTAAATTATTTTTATATAGAGCTTTTTACAAGTGAAACAATTGTTTTCCTCTTATTTTCTGCTGTTTTGATTACCATCCTGAAAATATTCTTCAAATCCATGTCCAAAACTCTAACAAATGCAAAAACTATGCACAAACAGTAGTAAAAAAACAAAAACCAGTTTGACTTTTTATCAAACACCTAATGGACAAAATGAGACCCACACTAGTCAAAAGTAAACTAGAACACTAAACATCCAAACCCCATAACACATCCCCATTACCAAAACCTCAATTCCACCATCAAATGGTGCACTCTTGAGATGATTAAGTCACGTTTTCGTTCTCAGCCTTCTCCTTTCTCAATCATCCTTACCAACACGGCTATCCAGACTTCCTGTAGCCCTCTGATGATCGCCATGGTTGTCTTCATCATCGCCACTGGGCATCGTCGTCGTCATCTACCCTTGAATCATCTCCCTCCCGTCACCTCTGCCATCGCTAGCATTGTTGACGTCGATGTCGACGCCTTCTTACCAGAGGTGGAGCGGAAGTCTCTCAGCAAGGAAAGGGAACCAGGGTATTTTTGCTTAGTGCGGTTGCTTAGGAAACCAAATACTGAGGTTGAATCATTTAATATTAGGTCGGACAAAAAGGGGGTATTATAGAAATTATGAAAACTTTCATTAAATATAAAACAGCTTCCCATGTTTTATATGGAAGACAGTTTTGAGGAAGCTGGTACCTACCAGAGCTCGAAGCTCTTTTGCTTTTGCAATCCAGTCTGAAAAATGGCCTTTGAGACCCAAAGGTCAAAAGCCTCTCTCTAAAAGCCATTCCAAATAGGCCCAAAGTCAAAGATCAAGATTATGAGTAGTATATACTTTTGGTGAGAGAGAGATTTTGATGTAAAGTAATTCTTGAAGCATTTTGCATGATAGCTCTACGCATAAACTTGTAAGACTTTAGGACCCTCAAAGCAAATGGCACATATCATTTAAAGGTCCCTACACTCAATGACTTACCCACTGAACTTAGTTGATTCACATCACAAGGGTATAATTGTCATTGGAAAGTTAGAAGTCATTTTGACCTTAAAAGAATTCAAATTCACGATTTTAAATGACTTAGTCGCATAAGTGGTTGCCTTAGGTACCTAACTTGGCCAAAACAGAACAGGCATTCTGGATTTAGTCGCCTAACTATAGACGGCCGAATTCAAGCAGCTGGGCACCTAACTCAGAGATTCAAAACCCCTCAGTCTGAGGGACAAATTTAAGATAATAATCAAGAAGACATGCATTAAAACACGAAGACACGTCACCATGAATATACTTGTCATGGTTATGACTTTTGCTCGCGTAGATTTTAAGTACTGTCTAAGGGTACTGTCATTTCTTCTTTTATTAAAGTATATATTATTATCTTCTTTCCTTTTGCACAAATATGTTTTAATCTTATACCATGTTAAAATATAAATCCAAATGTTAAGAGTCCAAAACATTTAAGTTCCTAGCACATGTAGGAAGATGAAATTGACCATATAACACCAAAAAAATCCTTACTCATTTTCCACTACGCCAGAGCCATTAACATGGTCTCATTCCCACTCAATTGTTGATGGAGGCTTTGACGTAATGTCTAGAAGAACTCGGTTTACACCCCGAACACTATTGCATATCTTTCTAACCACATCATCAAGGAACTTGTGTTCGAACTTGTACCTGGAGTTTTGAAATTTCCAAAGACAAATCAAAAGGTTAAATATGAAAGCAATAAGTACCTAATAGAATATCAACTACAGTAAATTTGATGTAGGGCTGGTAGCTTGATCGCAATTGTAAGTGTAGAAAAAATTAGGAAGAGAACTAGAGAACATAATTAGAGGTGAGGAAGAGATGAGAGAGAAGAAAGAGAAGAAGAATTTAGAATGAGAAAACCTGAACTCAGACAATGTTCAATCTCGAACAACAACTAATATTCGTTACATAAATGCCTATAGCATCAAAAAGTGGTTAACAACCACGGAAACAGAAAATATCTAAGAGAATATAATAACACAAAATATTTCTGTAAAAATCACACAAAAATATCATTGCAGTGGCCATTGCATCCTAATCTGTCCTTAACAACTAAGGTAACACCTGAGAGAATTTAATAACACAAAATTTATCAAATACAACAACTATCTCATTTTCGTAGAATTTAATAACAACTATCAGATTACAACATTTAATTGGATGTGTGCCTGCTAGAATTTGTTCAATTTCATTATCGTAGGACTTTGGGTTCTTCTATGATGTGTTTACAAATAAATCTTGCTAATGGTTAAGGAAATTCATTAAGGATGCTTTGCAGCCTTTACTCCTTCCTGTACAGTAGGATATAATCATATAGGAATTTATATATATATATATATAACTGGCCAATGATCAAGCTGATTTTTACTTAAATTTTATTGATGTATATTTAGAATTAATAACCAAATTAACTTAGTTGAGAAACCATCTTTATTGGGTGCAAATGTTATACTTTTTTTCAACTTGCACCTCGCCTTACACCTCAGTCTCCAGGAGGTCTTGGCACCTTAGTGCACCTTGAGCCTTTAACAACTATGGTTCATAAGTACATGCCTCAATGGATTTTTCATATTCTTAAGCATCTATTCATGCATTCACAGAAAACCAACATTCTTCCGTAATAAAACAACCCACCCACCAACCCATCCATTTGAAATATAAAGCAGGACAACAGAACAATCAAAAGGAAAAAGGAACTAGTTCAACCTTCCAGCAACATGTTAATCATACCAAAAAAGCACCTAGTCAACCACTACATACTTTCAATAAGTAAGAAGAAAAAAGAAAAACCAACAAAAGGGTTTTTGAATTTCAAATCATGGTTTACAAAGGAATGAGGAAGGCTCATAATCTTTACACAGAAACATACTATGCTTATAGCAAAACAAAAATTGAATTACATTAATATATAAAAAAACAAATGTAGATGTAGCACATGCTTACCAGTCTGCAGTCATTCCATCTTGACTTGTAACAGCTCTAAGTGCAACAGGACGTGAATGTGTTCTTTGATCTCCTTGAACCCCAACTGATCTATCTGCCAGAAGCACTACAAAAGCTTGCCAAATAGAATCATAAATTCCAGCATCCTTGATTGACTGAATGAAAATTTCATCCGCCTGGAAAAAAAGTCATTAGGAATAAAGACAATGGACTGAACCAAGATAGTGAAGTTTTATAATCTGTGCATAAACACTCCATTTACCTGGCGAAGGATATCCAACGCATTTCCTACCGTGACATCACCCGAAATACGTACTGCAAGGCCAGGCCCAGGAAATGGATGGCGCTTCAGAAACGACTCAGGAACGTCCAATATCTTACCTAATGCTCGAACCTTTGAAAAAAAAACAAAACAAAACAAAAGCAATTAAAACAACAGCATTGTGTCAAATCAAATAAGCGAAAAATAGAATTACAACCAAAATTGCCAAGAAATATAATAAAAAACCTCATCCTTAAATAAAAGTTTGAGTGGTTCAATGAGTTTCAATTTCATGTCCTTGGGAAGTCCTCCGACGTTATGATGGCTCTTGATAGTGTGGGAGTGGGTTCTTCCAGTTCCAGGTGGTGGACAAGATTCAATCACATCTGGATATAAGGTTCCTTGGACCAAGTAAACAGGTTTCTTTCCTACTTTATGCTCCAAATCTTGAGCAAAAACATCAAAGATGCAAATAAATTCCTTTCCAATTATTTTCCTCTTCATCTCAGGATCTTCCACGCCTTTCAACTTGCTAAGAAATTGCTCTGTTGCATCAACACAACTAACAGGTAAATGAAGATCCTTTTCAAAGGTTTCCATCACACGCTCTCTTTCCTTGTACCTAAAGGAAGCAAAGACTACAATGAGAACTGAAATGACACAATTTATATCTTGGAAATCTTAGACCTGCATATATATTTGATAAATCATTATTCAGTGGCTCCACTCGTACCTCAATAAACCATTATCGACAAAAACACAATGAAGCCGGTCTCCAATCGCTTTATAAACAAGAGTGGCTGCAACTGTGGAATCCACACCCCCAGATAATGCACAAATTACATGATCTTCTGGCCCCACCATACCTTTGATAACTTTTATTTCTTCTTCCATTATGTCTTCCATCTTCCAGTCTGCAGTAACTCCGCAAACATCAAATAGAAAATAACACAGAGTTTCCATCCCCTCTGGTGAATGTGTAACCTGGACAATATTCAAAACTCATATCAAGGATTGAAGTAGAAATGCAATACAAATTTGAAATATTTCAACAAACAACTACACTAGCAAAGGTGAGAAACAATTCTCCTTAATACATTCACTTTTGCATGAATTTAAAACTATGGCACCTTAAATACAAGAGCAGAGGAAAAAAAATCAACTAATCTAGTCCAAGATTATAAAGGTTACACTTTTCCCTTAGAAGAATACGTATGATGAAGAAAAGGACAAATTGCTTCTAAAACATAACAAGACATCTATAGAAAGAACATACACAGAGAGATATAGTCATCCATATTTTTTCGAATTCAAAAACACAATGACCAATTTCAAAAAAGTCATTCCATTATAAAAAAGATCAAGGGCCATGCACTGATTGACAAATTAGTTCACTTCCTGTGCCTTTCCATATAGTATGGACACAAAATCCCACCCTAATTGACACAATCATCATTTCTTACACTTGCTTTTAAACAAATATTTCAGAAAAGGAAATAGCCATCAAATTTTTAAGTTACATTCTAGGAGAGAGCATCTTTGCTACTAACTGTTGAGATAAAATTGCATTTTGATGAAAGGAGGGACGGACCTATGTAACTGACCTTCTCTTTATCTATATTATGTAACTAAAATCTTGCAAAAAATTATAATAATGCCCAACTAAATTTTTGGTAAAACACTCTATACATTATGATCACCCCTACTAAAATTTTCTTTATTTATCCCTATTACAATAGATCCTAAGGGTGAGGTGGTACAGAATTTGACCATTTCTTGTTCCTTAGACTACTTGACTTTACACAAAATATCTAAAAATTCTCTAATATGTTAGTTTGATAATAATCAAAACAAAATCAATTACGTACAAATTTAATTGAAATGGAAGTATGGGGCAATTTTCAATTAAAATAACAATTAATGTTTAATTTCTTTTTCTTTATTATGGCATTCTGAAATTCTTTTATTTTATTAATTTGGAGGCCAACTCTGATATAAGTTTATTTGCATGAATTTTTTATCATTTTGAAAAGAATATATACATATATCAAAGTCATACTGTAAATCTCAGGCCATTCAATACTAAAGAGTAAACAGTACATTTTTCAATCCAAAGAAGCCAACATTATGAATTAATCCACTAGGAATCAAATCAAAAACACAAAACAAATCAAACCCAATTACCTCAGGGTGATACTGAAGCCCATAAAACCGCTTGGATGGATTCTCCACCGCGGCCACCAACCCCTGGTGGCTCCGCGCCACCACTTCAAACCCATCCGGCAGTTTCACCGCCTCGTCTCCGTGACTCATCCACACAACCTGCCTATCCCCAGCCCTTTTGGACCCAAACAACCCACAAGCCTTCTCGACCTCAATCTCCATCCTCCCATACTCCTGTTTCTCCCCAACCCTAACCTCCCCACCCAAACTCTGCACAATCAGCTGCAACCCGTAGCATATGCCCAGCACGAACACTCCGTTGGACTCGACGTATTCTATGAACCCGTCGGGGAAGGTCGGAGCGTTGGGCGCGTGGACCGAGTGGGGGCCACCGGAAAGGATGATGACGCTTGGGTTCAGATCGGAAATGGATTTTAGGGAGGACGTGCCGGAGATGCAGAGAGAGAAGACGGAGAGGCTCCGGATTCGACGAGTGATGAGGTGGGTGTACTGTGAACCGTAGTCCAATATGAGAACTAGGTTTGATTTCACTGTCTGAGCTTCCATGACTGTTTTTGGGTTTAGGTGTTGGTGATGAGAGGGGGAAGGAAGGTTTTAGGCTAGGGTTTTAGAAATGCCAATTTTATTGAACAGCGAATAAAAAAAAATAGAATTAGATGGGTTTAAGGTTATCAAAACAATTGTTTGGGCCTAATTTTTTTCTGTCATGTGCAAGGCCCAAACAGGAACAACGACGAAAGTTTGGAGAAAGCACAAAAAAAAAAAAAAAAAAAAAAAAAAAAAAAAACGAATATAAATTGGTACCATACAGCAATCACTAGGCTAATGGGGTGTGCTTATTCTCATCATATTATTTGGATCCGAAAGACCCAACCCAGAATAGAAAAATTTGGGCTTAAGATTGAGACCTCATAGGCTCATACAAGTAATAAAGAAAACAGTTGTCTTGACAACCAACCCGTCAGTAAAGACAAAAAAAATTTGGACTTTATAAATTAGGATGGGGCGCGCCAACACAAGCCCCAACTATCACAAATTATGACATAGGCTCTACTACTTGGATAGATCTTAGGTGAGCACTCCTCCAAAGTGCAATGAAGGTTACCAACCTAGGCCACAGGTCTTTTTGATCACCCATTGACCTCGTCAGGTAAGTATATTATAAGGCATGCTTTCAATTCATTATATAGAGTTCCAAGGAACTCCCACTTATGTTTTTCTCAACGTAGGATTGAAACTGAAACATATGAGCATTTAAACAGACGAAAATGCATATGGATCTCCGATTGTTTTCTTGCTTATAAAGTTCATTAAAATCTACATATTTGGATTGTAATCTCACAATGAATAATCCATAACTTATTTGGGTTAGAACACTAAACATCGTGAATTAAACACATTAATTAAATGTTAATAAGAAAAAGATGTGGTAAATATATAAAATTCCAGATCCCGGGGTTATGCTCAAAACGAAAAGGCACAAAGATTGAACAATTTTTTTTTTGTTTTTTTGCATGTAGTTCAACCAAGTGTGTTACGTATGCTTTCAAAGTATTATTGCAATGAGTCAATAATGAACATTTATAAGGTCTCTTTTCTAACTATTTTATTTTCCTAAGTCTCAACCATAAGATCTAAGAGTTGTTGCTTTTAAATCTTATGTTTCACAATACTATAATGTCATCGTAGCCAACTATCAAACAGTTATTATATTTTACTTTTTTTTATCTTTCTAATATGTCAAGAAATTATTAGTGTGGGTACTTGAATTCCCGATCTTTTATTTCAAAAAGTGAAAAAGTATCACTATGTTACAGTCTTGGTGTCATCGTATTTCACTTAAATTACCTAATATTAGTCATACCTTATAACTTATTTATATTAATATTAATAAGAGACTAATTTGCAGAGAAAAACTTATAACTCATTAGTCATTAAACTTAAAAATAATGGTTGTACAGTGATCATGATTTTTGAAAAGCAATATGGATGTTCTTTGTGCACAATTATTAACCGATAATGGTTCGAAAGATCATTAAAAATATCTGAAAATAATTTATTTCTGATATAAATCATAGAGAAAATTAAATGGGTTCGCAGGGTCAATATAAACTATTTTCTGGGCCTATTTTCATCTTGCCACGAACAAGGCCCAAACAAGAACACAGACGGATTGCAAACTTGGATAAAGCCCAACAAAATATTTTAGCTTAAAATTTAAAAAGGTTTTGTAATTAGAACCGAATTTCTTAAGTCCATCCACTTTGAAAGTTAGATGTAATATAAATATTAATGTCACAAAAATGATACAAAGATCCATAGTACCCCACTTGGTAATTTCTGAGTTAGAAATTCGGGTTCTACTAAGGATTATGTGTACATAGTTATTGTCATTAGAAGTTAAAAACCAAGCATGTTTTACTTTTAACAATTGGTGTCTCTAAATCTCATTCAATATTTGAACAATGAGATATTTGCTAGGAATTAGGAGTGGTCACGGATCGGATCGGATTAGGCATCAATCCTAATCTAATCTGCTCCTTACGTATTAGAAATTTTTTAATCCGTCACCGATCTGTTATCCCACAGATCGGATCGAATCCATTGAATGATGGATCATATCGGATTGGACCCGCGGATTGGGATTTTTCCTAATAATTCAAATATTATTTATTTTTTAACCATAACCCAATCAATAAAATTTAAATTTATCACTATTAATTCATATATTTAAATGATCATCAACTAGTACATTCTTATAATCTATTAAACAATCATCAACTAATTAAATTTACTAAAATATCATTTGATATATATATGTATAAATCTCACGGATCGGATCGAATTTTTAACAGTTCAATCCATGATCCGATCCTTGAGCTTCCGTGAACCGATCATTGAGCTACGAATTTGATTTTTTGAATCCGCCACCAATCCGTGAATGTAGCAATCCGATCCGATCCACACGGATCAGATCGGATTCGCAAATTTACGAATTATTTACCCACCCCTACTAAAAATCCAACATTGGTTGCAAACTGATACTCAAATCAAGTGCGTTAAATTTTGTTTCAAATAAGAGTCATTATATTGCATTTGAATAACCTAATACTATAATGTTATAATTAAACCTTCTTATATTTTATAAGAATCAGTATATCCAAAATTATAATTTAGTGATCAAACTTAAAGGAATAATGTTATACTGTAATTGACAATAGACTTTGCGTGCATCTCCGATTACTAGTGTTCAACAAAAACTCAAAAAACGAATAAAAATTTAAATTAACGATTGACGTATGAGACACCAAACGAAACTTTATCATTTTCCAACCGAAAGTAATTGGTATAGAGTCAATCATCTTGATTACTGGAAAGCACTAAAGGTGACCAATGATGTTGAATGTGCTCCATTATCAATCTTATGAACCGTCCAAAAAAATTTTATTGGAGAGTCCAAATCATTAAAGTTTTTAATGGTGTGCTTATTTTCATCATACCATATGGATGATACCATTTGACTATTGCATTTGGATTTCAATAATGGTAAAATTGAATACTTAAAAGGGGTTGAATTTTGTGAAATCAAATAAAAGTAGATGAGAACCAATCCACCCACCATTCTTTTAATTCATAAAATCTATGTGAAAATCAAAGGACTTTTAGTTGAATAGAACCAAAGAACTTTTAGTGGAATGGTATAATTTCTTCTCTAGGAGGTTGAACCTTCAAGTATGACTTGTTTAATATCTTATCTCCTTCTAAAAGGAATGAAGAGAGTTCGAGTTTTCAAAGAGTAAAAAAAAGAATCCGTTAATATGTTATGAAATTAAAATCTATATAAATAGTTATTGTCATTGAAATTTGTTTAGGCCCAAAGTCAAAAACACCAATTTGGTTGGCAACACCTCACCCATAAGTAATCCAAAAAACTAAAATCTATATAAATAGTTATTGTCATTGAAATTTTGTTTAGGCCCAAAGTCAAAAACACCAATTTGGTTGGCAACACCTCACCCATAAGTAATCCAAAAAACACTTGGACTGTTTTTGAGACCAAACCAATAAATGCAGATTACTCAACCCATAAACTAAATAACTTGGGCTTTGTGTTTGAGACCTCACCCATAAGTAACATAAGGAGAACTTGGGCTATATAAGAGACCCAACCCATAAACAAACACAAAGAAAACTTGGGCTTTAGACATTGGGAAGGGGCCGCGCGAACGCAGGCCCCCACTACCACAAATTATGACGTAAGCTCTACCACTTTGGTAGACTTTAGGCGGACACCCCTCCTGAGTGCAATGGAGGTCACCAACCTAGGCCATGGGCCTTTTTGATCACCCATTGACCCCGTCCAGGTAAGTATGTTGTAACTTATGCTTTCAATCCATTATATAGAGTTCTTGAAATAACTCCCACTTATGTTTTTTCCGATGTGGGACTACAAAAGTGAACACTACACAAACTCCACATAACTCATGGGGAAGAAAATAGATTTATGGATGGAATCAAATATTTAGTTATTGGGGAAGAATCGATATACTTCTAATGTCGAATTAGGATAAACTAGGACAGAAATAAAGTATTGGGTTGAACTCTTCTTTGGTGTCAAGGTAATAGCTATAAAGAGTCATCGACCCCGGAAAAAGATAGAAAAATGGGACCTAATGTGAGACATATAGAGTGATTATGAATCGAATAATGGGTTTTTTTGTCTAATGGTCCAATGGAAGCAAGAGTTTCTAAGAACATTTGGAACATTTTTGTTTCTAAGCAGAAGAGTCGTTTTCAAGTAGTATTTGATTGATTACGTATTAATCAACATTTGATTCATTAATCCAAATTTGAAATTTTGCTTTTAGGTTTAGGTTCGATGTTGTATGTACAAATTCCGAGTTCCAAAATAAAGAAGATTTGAACACGTGAAAATCATCTTTAACACATTTTAATAGAGTTTTTTTTTTCAAAAAAAAAAAATTAATCATAAAGACTCTGGTTGTGTTAGGGTAAAACTTTGGTTGCAAGTTGAAGCTCAAGTCAAGTGCTACAACATATTTAATTTAAGTTGTTTAGATTTTATTTCAAATTAGAGTCATCATATTTTAACTTTTTTTCTTTCTTTAACTTCGTCAAGAAAATAGTCATTGGGCTTGAACTTTGAAAAGGGAACAAGTACCACCCTTATGTCATCATTTGTAACTTGAGATGCTAAAGTGTTAAACTTAAATCTACTTACATTTAATTCAAATCAGAATCAATATATTTCACTTTTAAAGGTAATGAAAAACAAATTGGGAAAGGAAAAATTATTACTTAGTCATCAAACTAAAATTAATTGTTGTACAGTGATCATGATTATTGAAAAGCAATAGGTCATCAAACTAAAAAAAATTGTCATGATTATTGAAAAGCAATGTAGGTGACCATAAAAAGGTATTTATCTCTATCACTCTTATTTTTATAGTAATTTGATTTTTTTTTATATATCAATTAACTTTCACAATGCTTTTGTAAGACTTAAACCATTTAGATATTATTTTGTAAAGTACCATAATGTCATTGCATGTAAAGGATAAACAATTAATACCCGAAAAAGATTTTAATTGCCCAACAAACTCTGTTGAACATAAAATAACTTTTTTCATAATTCTGCTATGTTTATATAACTATCCACTTACATGTAACAAAATAAATCATGTGTCACTCTCTTTCTTAAATTTTTAGAACTTCATTTGATATTGAAATATATTCAAAATTTAATAGTAATTCTGAAAGTAAAAAATCTAAGATTTAACTTCCAAAAATTTTGAATTCAAAAAAATGGGTATATAAGTAGTCTTTGAGACCACAAATGCTGTAAACGAGTTCAAAAATAAAGAATTAGTACATTAAACAAATTACAATATTCAAATTTTATTTTGAGAGACGATATTCGATTCTCTTATTGTACCTTATATCATGACTGAAAATATATTAGTCTAAAAAAATTTGAACTTTACATTGGAAAGGGCCGCGCGCAAGCCCAAAAAATGTTTTAGTGGGAATAAGTATTTGTTTGTTCCACTACCTGGTCTGAACCCGAATTCCAAACTTGTAGGAATTGCCAAAAATGTGAAATTAATATTTATATAAATTAGGTATTGACATTGGAA